CGCATAATCGTGGGCATATTTGACTTGTTTCAGGAGCATAAAATAAGAAAAAAAAAAAAGCATAATGGGCCTAAGCCTATCGTATAACCGATGACCTTTGAGGTAGGACCGTCCGGAAGCTTGGCTCCGTTGAGCCTCGCACACCAGATCACTCTTGCTTCCTACCCTCAGTTCACCGTACAGAACTGTGAGCAGAACAAGCTTGAGTCAACCAAGAGGCGAACTGCTGAAGCAGAGCACACACACAAACCACGCTTGAACGCAAGTGCATCCCAAGTCCAAGCTAGAATCTGCAGAAGTAAAGAGGCGGTATCAGTTCTCCCCTCAGAAGCAGGGTGGAGTTCTATCAATAAGGAGGCAGGGGGGGTGTGGGGTGTGGGGGATGAGTTGAAAAAAACGCGGCGCAAACTAGCAATAAATACTCGAATACAGAGAGATAGCTCAGCCGTATTGATTGGATGCCGAGGCCGTTGTTCTATGCATCGAGATGTCGAATGAAGCATACCGGTTCAAGCAGGATCGACAGGAGGTACTGCTGCACACAAATGCTACAGCAGTAAATGTCGAACCACATAGTTACAGCAGAAGTGCACATGGTTCTAGGAATGGTGTGTACGTGTGTAGCTCGGTGACCGTCGTCTCTGTTGTGTGTATGGAATTTTCATGATGATGGCGGAAATTCGCACAGGGGCTATAAACGCGACTTCTTCTGCTGTACCAGGTATGTATGTAGTATTTCAGTGTATGCTACAGCAGTTGGTTTTGGTCTGTATTCGTACTCACGCAACCAACAACAACAGGGATAGATTAAAAAATTCGACCAATCATCATCAATCAGCGAACTCACGACCACAAACAGCACCATCATTCATGGTCAGATTAAAACATGTTGATTCTTCTAGAAAAATAGTGAACCCGCCGTAGATGACACGTCATGGAGATCAGGGATTTTTGGCCCATCTGAAAAAATAAAATATATCCTTTCAAAAAAATGACCAATCAGAAAACTGCGGGCACCATTGTTACTGTCTGTGTGTTGGCTAATTAAAAGTGCCCCGATACAAGGTGATGAATATTTTTTGTAACGGTATGCATACATACCCACATTCACCCCCCCGCCCGAATCAGAACAGGTTGGACTGGGCTGACGGGCGCATGAGCCACACGCTGTCCGCCCACGGTTGCAAGCACGAGCGGGGAGGATGGTTTGGGCTCGTCATACCGATGCCAAGGTACGGAGATAATAGATTATTATTTTGTAGGATTGTATTGAACCTTGAAAGATACACAATGAGGTTGTCGGATCCCGAGGCCAGCGCCTACCCAGCTCAAAGAAGGCACTGATGCCAGTCCACATGTATCATGGAGACCGTACCCTGGGGGGTTCGCAATGGTAGACGATAGAGAATGCGGGGATTGTATGGTTGTTCTGTGCATCCGACATCCGACATCGAGATCCGACTCCCCGACAAGGAAGGCGCCGTGAAATCGCTGGGACGATAAAATGTTCGGGTAGGTAGGCGGAAGGAACGCGCTTGAACACGTCATTCGCTGCAATTTAAAATCCGTGCACTACGCTATGGACTGCTTCGATGTACCTGAAAATCTGTACGATACGATGTACATATATGCATGTTGCTGTGGTCTACCCTGGCATGTGATATTCTACGGTACAGTGTAGTTGCCCGTGGTCCTTAGAATGCCTGAAGACACGATATAGCACATACATGCAGGTAAGGGGGCATGGCTGCCACCGTCGCTGCTGCTGTCACTGCTGTTGCTGCTGCTGTCATTGCTGCTGCGAAGCCAATACCTCATGCTCGCATGCACGGACTGCTGGTTCGTTTGAGCTGCATCGTGGCTTGGAAACACGCATATTCCATTGTAATAGGCATCTATCTCATCGAACGCTTGCCCTCGCGACACCGCTGCAGTAGGATACACCTTCGTTCGTCGTTGTTCGAGGGCAGCTACTTGATCAGTACACTGACTTGATGTGCAGGACAACCCCTATTTTATTTCGTGCTGTCGCTTTGTTCTTCTGCTTCGAAGCCTTGACTGAACCATAGTCTGCGACGACCACTCATAACGATTGCGGTGGAAGAACAGCAACAACAACCGCAAAATTCACGCATGAGACAAACATATGACATCGTTTCGAGCTGATCCTGCTGCTGCAGCAACGGGATCGGTGTGCTCGAGCAGCGGTACCTGGGCTTTTGGTGACTCTTGGCTTTGTCGCTCTATGGGGCTTCAACACTGGGACTTCGCAAGGCACAAAACGAGCCACAGCTGCCGCAGAAGCGGCGGAAAAGAGGGTGAGGGAACTTAGGCCGCCTGCACGTGTGGTGGCGGCTATCTCTGAGAACATCGAGTTCGAAGGGAATAACGCGTCGGCGGTTCAAGCGGTTGACAGAGGCATTGCTCGAACTGGTGCAAACGGCGTTGCAAGTTCCGTCAGCGCAACAAACAGGGACCATTTGATCAGCACTGGCAATGGCGAGGCCGTCGGGAAACGCACCGACAACGACAATATTAGATGTGCGGTGGAGGAAATCAGACTGAAGCCTTCATACGCCAAGCCAGCAAACACAGAAGGTGGAAGTAATTCAGGAAGCAGTGATGCTGCAGATGACAGCAGCTTCTGCCAGGAGTATCTCAAGTTTGGAGGCAGCTCAGAGGTAAACAGATTAATACATTACGTGGGGACTACTGTAATACGAGTTGCCGACGATCCATGGACTCTATACTCCTAAGTAAAAACAAGTACAAGTGATCCCTCCGGAATGGGCTCATGGAAGAACAGTGCGATCAAGGGGCATTTCTTACGGGATGATGTGAGAAGGCAGTGGGGCCAGGCCACACGTGGTGTCCAGCTGCCAGTTTCGACTTGTTCCGAGTTTGAACAGCTCAGACAGCTGACCCGAACGAAAATCTGTATACGGGCTTCAAGCAAGAAATGACAACAGGCTCGTGCAGACTTTTTTAGTACGATGCACGTTCTGAGTACCATACGAGGGTGTACCCTGGTGGAGAATGAACTTTGCTGTGGCCATGGGGCGCTAAGCGGAAAAGATATTTGAAGTCATTTCCGATGTAACGAAGCGACCCTCGTGACATCCGAGTTGAAGGTACTGTTGCTTCCATTACGCGCATGCTAAATGCTTCTCGGGCGACACTACTCGCGCGAAATTGCTGGTACCCGAGTTGAGTTGATCTGTTATGGTTCCAACGCAGTGCAGACGATAGACACCAAGGTATAAAAATACTATTCTCTGACAACAAGATGAACGGTCCTCGATGTTAGTTTGTTGATGCTTTTCTTGTGTCTTGCGATGTTTTTCCGGGCGACAGATCACTCAGCGAGACTTTAAATGTCCGGCGTGCCCGGTTTGCGAAGTCTTCGACCTCAGAAATGTCGCTGTAAAGGTAAGAAACAAGGGGAAGGATGAGGAGAGAAAGTTAGGGGCTGCCACTAGTAATGGAGAGCCTTCGCGAAAATGGGTGCGAAAATGCTTGAAAACGTAATGCTCAATGATCGGTTTAACCACCAGCATATATTTTCCATAGAGGGACACAGGACAAGCTGAGAGGTCTGCATCTCCCGTACTTCGCCGTGGCGCAACGGTTTCGCCTAAATCGTACCTCTTGCACATCCGTAGTTCAGTTTCGGCTTTGCGTGATCATAAAAAAATCCCACATCGCCAAAGGGATTGATTTGCAGAACGTGAGTATATCTAGGACACATCTCACCTGAGTTTACACTCCTGGTGAGGTGATTGTCGCTCCAATGGACGAATTCGAAAGAGCAGGCGTTGAGTGCACCCTTCTACTCTACTGGTTCAACACGTTAGTTAGTGTTCTCACTAGAAAAGACACCCGAATTGCGATCCCGACCTCGTGGGGCTACCACTAGCGTTTCCTGTAGAAGCTTGTTCATTTCGTCAAAAATGTAACCCCTCGAATGTGCCCCCTTGGTCGTAGTCCACTCTCTGCTACACCTTTGCAGCCGTACACCAGCAAACTAAACATCTCTCCATCCTGCGGGTTCTTGGACCAGGACAACACCCTCCACATCTATGCCCCGGGGGCAGAAACCCTCAAGATGGTTCACCAGTGGGGCAACCGGCTCCCCACGCTTCGCTATTTTTGGGGAGGTGCGCCTCAACGTATGTGGTAGAGAGGACCGTACGCACCGAAATATCGAGCCACCTCACCGGACAGGTCGTGGCAATTGCACCTGAAATCCATGTTCGAGTTCAGGCCGTGCACGTGCGTAGATCTAGGCGGTTCCGCTGGACGAGCAAGCGGCTTCGGTCCTGAAGAAGAATCCGGGCACCTTCAGTCGCGATGGTTGAATCCAGGAGTTGGAATACCAACCGCATGAGGATCTTCCTGAAGAGCCACATTTTCTTCTGGGTAGACATGTTCTCTGCTGCACACTTAGGTCCTTACAAAGGAGTTGGTGGCTGCCCTTGAGGGCTGTCACAATGTCTTCCGCCCCGTTAGCTGTCCATGTTGCGCTACACATGAAAATCGTCCATGGTTTGTTTTGTTTCACACAGGAGTGCAAAAAAGTGGAAGCCCAATAGTGGTCCACGACGAGCCACTTGAGGAGACCATGTGCCCTTCGAGGTATGGCTTGTGATGTGGATGTTTTCAGATTGTCCTCTGGTGATTCTCTCACGATCTGTTGCTGCTGCTGCTGGTAGCGGCGGTGGTGGTGGCGGAGGCCATGGCGGAAGCAGTATTGCTGCCAAATGTTGGCGTGGTCACGTCGTTGCACGCCTCTGTATTTCACGTGTGTTGGTTGAGGTTTCTGTTCGCATGCAAGCGGTGAGATCTTTGCGGCGTAGTCAAAATATTCGACTCATGCTTCACGTCACGGTCGGCGTATTCCACGCCGTTCAAACCCTTGACTTGACGACTACCACGAAATGTACGAACAGGACAAAAGGGGTTTCCTTCTACTCGGTGCCGCACTACCAGGAGAACGCGTACCATCTCCACAACGACAACTTTATGCCGACCTCCACCAACATCCTATCCACCCCTTGCCTTTGCGACGGGGTGGAGCTGTCCAGCTGCAACCGTATCGAAAAGGTGTGCCTTGGCTGTGGCGGTGAATGTCTTGCCTGATAGCGAGTTCAGCTGTCTTCACATTTACTATCGTCCACTGCTGTCCTGTTCTCGCCCACTTTTGAAGAATGGCGGCCACGACTGCCTAGCTGTACCAATCAATGCATACACACGATAGTCTTTCAACTATCTGCTGGCTTAACGCGTGACGCGACGGTGAGCTTCTCCTTTTCAGTTGCGGGATGGAGATTGACTTGCCAGAGAGACGTACATTTCGCAGAGAAATATTGCAAAGTCTGAACTTGGCAGAGGTAAGACAGTACCTAGCTCGGTTTTCATGTCTTCGCACTCGTACAACGCCATGAAATCAAGGTTGTGAATACCCTGCCAGCTACTATCTTCCCAGGCCGCAATACTTTCACAAATGTTGGAACAACGAGCTAAGAAATTCTCTGGAACACGTACGCGTCTCCTGCGTTGGGGGGGGCTAAATACATGGCGGTGCGCTTGTTGAGGTGCTCCCGGGGGAAATGCACGTCTATTGTTTTACTCCGAGGCAAACACTACCCTCATGCCGACCCCTGAACCTGCACCTGCAACTTTTTCATTGTCGAACGATGGGTAGACCACACTGCACTCTAGGCGGTAACGATAAACGGGAGTACATGAAGCCGGGATACTTGTAGTAAGCCCTTTTTTCTTGAAGGGTGCTTGATACGAAAAAGTGCTTGGAACATGTGTCAGTTCGCTTCACACCCGAACCACACATTACGAATTGCACCATCTACAGCGACATTTGTGAAGCGACGGAAACAGAACACACGAAAGCACCTGAGTATAGCAAGGCCGACTCACGACGGCCAACACAGCCAGTCGTCGGCGCAGAAACAAGGACAAGGACAAGGCTACCATGTAGTTGCATACGGAACATATGCAATTACAACGCGCAGGGCCCGGGTTGTTGATTGTGTTTCTACGTGGTGTAGGAACGTAGAAACGTCTCGAAAACTGATACCACACGAAAGATGCCTCGAAAGCAGCAAGCAAAAGCGTCCCCCTACCGTCTCATAACGGATAAGAATATGATTATTACCTTAGGGGGAACATATCATTGCTATTGCCGTGTTCGGTAAATATGGCGCAGGCTAAATCATATCTTCAGGTCTAATGGTCGCGTGAAAGGTGGCGGGAAAATATTGCGACGTATATTGTTTCGGAGGCGGAATGCTTGAATTCCAGCTACTACAATGATAGGGGTTGTCGATGATCAAAATGATGCCGTAAAGAACATGGGAGTATTAACGCACAGTTGTTCGCCTCCGGTTGATTGCCTCTATTCTCGCAGACCAATGTGCGCACTCCGCAGTTAAAGCAAAAGCACGGCAGCACCAATCCAGAGTTTCTGGATGTTTTCAACACGCTGTTCAACCACACGTTGCATCTCAACAAAGGCGCGCACGGCACCAACCTCGGTGAGATGCGCGTAGGTTTTATCTTCCACGCCGCGTTCGCTGCATGCTTCGTCCTCTCAAACTCCTTTTTACTTGATGCAGTGCATACCACCATACGTTCCCCGGCAATCAATATTTCACATCCCCACTCTTCCTGTGCGAATTCTTGTTGGCTGCGAAACAGCTCCAGCGCGCGCAAACGGGAAGTTCCACTGCCTAGATCATATGGTATGGGGGTTTGTGAAGCCCTTCTACATTGACTGTCAGGCGGACAGGAGTTCCACCACTTGGGCGTGGATGCATCACGCCCTGGAGTACTTAGGTGACAATGCTGCTGGATATTCAACATTCTTATACTCCGTATTATCCCAATATAGACTGCTTATTGGGGAATATCTTCTCTGAAAATACATCGACATGACAATATCAACTACGGTGTGCTTCGCACCGTCACCACCACGACTCAATCCACAGCGAACAATTGTAAATGCCCAACCGGTGGATACCGCTATGGCAGGGTGGAGGGAGTAAAGGTTGCGACCATTATTTTGGGCTGTAGAAAGTTTCGACTATTAGGAATCCCATCGCGTTCTCAGCGCACACCAAATCTTGGGGGTAGAGGTGGGACCTTGAAGAGTTTACCACCCGGTCCTACACCATCAATACTACCAGCAAACGTATCCCACGGTGGGGAAGACCCAACTGATGATTCGGGTGTCAACCGCACACGCACTGCAGCTTGTTTACGTCGTGGTTGGTCAGTGCTACAACCAAAAGAGGTGGCGTTTCGTACTTCTTGCTTCTGTTCTCCAGGGCTCCCGTCCGTCCCCCCCCCGGTAAACGTACCACTGGTACCGCCCTCACCGCCAACGGGTGCACTGCCTAAAGTGATCTTCCTGCACCGGAATGCGGTGGGGCCTGGAAAAGACAAAACAAGTAGGTATGTAAGGATACTTCGTTTGTCCATCAGGTTTGTGTCACGAGCATCATGCCGGGTCTTACATTATTGTTGTTGTTGTTGTTGTCAGCGCGACGCTGTTGTCCGCTCTTGGTCGCTGCCGTTGTGAATCCGATATTGGCACGTTGTGTAATCAATTCCGAAATATGTCTGCGGGTATCTTGGATGCTATCACGTTCTTCTGACGTTCGTTGGTCTGCAGTTGATAGAGGCCTACGCTTGACTCAATTGCCACGTGTTTCATGCTTCCACCTGCAGGTTTATGCGCGATGTGAAGCCCCTTCGGGATGCTTGGGCTGCTGAAGGAATACATATGAACGACTGGCGCTACAACGTGAGCATGAACTTGCCTTCTACAGTAACTGAACGGATACACGGTAGCGACTTGGCGAATTGTAGAAGATTCAGTTTCTGTTTTGCATACCTCGTTAGCGCTTGCTCGATGAGAGGCGCGAACACCTATGCCTTTCTCCAAATCTGGTCAACCCCCGACGCACGTGGCAAAATAGAAGAAGCATCCAAGCATCGGCCAACCCCATTGAAAGCCACGAATAGACAACGTTGATTGCACGACGCAGTTGAAAAATATTAATCGAACATTGCAGCCTTCCTTTCCGTACTGAAACACTAGGGAAGTGACAGCCTCAAGAAAATGGTCGGGTCTCTGTCGGGCTATGACATCTACCTCGGAGTGCATGGAGCAGAACTGACGAACGTTCTTTACGGCAACCAAGGGTTGGTTCTCGTTGAGGTCATGAGCGAGGGTTGGGACAAGGTACGATATCTTCCACATTGTGGTGGCGGTTTTCGCTTTCCCCCAAAAGTGAACAGCAAGGAGTTGCAGGCCACAACCCTTCCCACTCGATTTATCCTATGCTCCCATGAAGGCTTCGATGGAACCAGATCATTGCTGATGTCCCTGAACGCCAGGCGTGCTAAATGAGACTCGAGACGTGAGGGTATGTGGTGTCAGGCGAGGTTCAGCCGGAAAAATAAAGGTCCCACATAGGCCTTAACACCAAAAAAATGGGCTCTAGGGTGGGGGAAAATGCCGCACCTTCTTCCCACTAGCGCGTTTCGGTCATGGAGGCCGCCTAGATTTACGGACACCACGCAGGCGCGAAGCCCGCCGTAAGTAGTTTCTCATGCACCCCCCCTCACAAAAGTAGGGTGGGTTAGTTGCGTAAATCCTAAATACCAGCAATCGATCTAGGGAAACCACGGGTAGAGGTGGGTGCACTCAAACGTGCTCGACTTTCGAGTGCTTCTTTTAGTAGACTGTGATCTGCCTCCATGAGCGACTTCTGAATGAGTAATGCCACAGCCAGGATCCTGCCGAATCATTATTGTGGAATTTGAATACACCAATTTTCTTCGGTCTTCCGACATATTTTCAACCGTTTTTTCCCGGAACGGTGACCGTTGGTTATATCGGTCTAGAACAATGATCACGGCAAGCCCTCGTGGCAATCTGTCAACAACATAGTCGATGTCGTACGCTACCCGCAACGGCCGTGGTGGAAGAAGGAGATCCGGTGGGTGTTGAGACGCTAACAAGGAGCTGCGGCACTTTTCGTTTTCTCGCGTAAATCCGGTCACACATTTACCTTTAGTAATACCCGTCACTACCAAACATGACATCTGCCGAGGACATAGGACTACGATTCTACCCCCCTCATCTATGATGGCATCCTCCGGCACCTCTCCCGTCCGAGGAAGTACCGCAAAACGAGATAGTAAGTCAGCGATGCTTGACAACCAGGCTTCTCTGCGCTGATCTCATCGCACTGAACCGTGCCTTTGTCCACGCGTCTCGATCGCGAACGAAATCGCGCTTCGTTTGGGGCTTTGAAGGAAATTTTCCACAAGGTCGCGCAGGCTCGGAGAGGAGGTTTCATCAAACTCCGGACCCTGCCGGCGTCACGTGAGTCGCGTTCAGCTGTGCCACTTGGATCCGTTATTACCCCTTCGCTCACAACGACAACGCTGGCAAAACGTGGCAGCTAAGTAAATGGATCCAGCTATGTAGCTGTTGCCTCTCACATTTTCGGCCGAAACAGGATGTTCGCGCACATCAGGGACCAGATCATGTGCTACAATATATTCTCTTGCACGGAGGCCCCTCTTGTGGTACCTGCCTTCCGTTGTAGCGCAAGTAAACAGGAGTTGAGGAAGTAAGCACTGATCCCAACCATCATCGCATCATCCCGTGACAATCGCGAGTAGCTCCGACCGACACTCCTTCGTGCTGGACAGATAAAAATATAAATATTCGAGGCTCCTCGTGAATAAACGAGAAACTGCTAGAGAGGCGTTGTCCAACTATGACTCCGATTGCGAAACACCCTTCAATGTTTCTGTATCGGGAGATCGTTATGAACTTAGTTCAGAATTCTTGTCTTCTGTACACCACATGGAGGCATCAAGTAGGTGAATAACGACGGAAGCAAACACGTGCAGGTTTAAGCGATCGATGAACACAAAAGCGGAACGCCCGTGGCCGGCAACAGCATTCGCTGAAAGCTTAGATCCTTTTGCTCGCATATGATGAATCCCGGAAACACATGCCGGCAGTATCTGCGGATAATGGAACGGTGCAGCTGACATCCCCAATGTCGTGAGTGATGCCACCGTTAGGGCGTTGCAATTACCACCGATTGTGGCCATCTTTTCTGGGCACATGGTGCTTTCAGTGTTCTCCCGTATCCGCAATCTGAACGCAGGACTCGACCGTGTGGTTGAGGCCTCGGGATATTGTGGGGCTGCACCGTGCACTCCGTGTGCTGTTGGGTGCATGACAATTGCTGCTCTGGACCTTTGCCCAGTATCTGGTTCTTGGCTACTCTGCAAGTCAAAAAAAAAAAATCCCGCGGTCGCAAGCTCCCCCAAGAAATGGTAACGGAAGAGAAGAACAACCTTGAAATCGTACTTGTTTCACTCGCAAACAACCCTCATGTTTACGATATTCCATGTTGAATCTCCAGTAGTCATCGACGTTGAAGCACGCGTCACTTGCACGTTGGACAGCACAATTCTTTGACGTATGGGTTGCTGAAGCTTCCCTCATTCTTTGGACATTGAAGCCGCCCCCCCGCCCCACTTTATTTGTCGGAAACTTTTGGCGTCAAATTCCCGTAGACTACCAGGTAGATCAAGACATGGCCGTGAAGACTGTGCGATGCGCCCTCGCGCTATGGAGGCGAGACAACAATCGGATTGATGTGTGCAACGATGCCGCCCCGAATCCGGGCCCGGCACAGTCCCACCAGAACAAACCGCCACAGTACAAAGGAGGTTAGTCGCTCCATCACACACGAGAGGCCAGAAACCGTCGCCACGATATGAAAAGAAGACCGCGCACTTCGCTTGAGCCAGTAATGAGGTGCCGGACATCGGACTTCAGCCCTCTCAGGAGTTGATATCTGTCTTCTTCGATACTATTATTGCGCGACAAGTATTGTCTTTGGGATGCGTGATTCAAGTGTGCCTCGCCACGTGGAAGTTCTCAAGCACGATGTTGTCACGGAATCAACGTACTTTCGTAACCTACCTTTCCCTCCATCCGTTGCTTATCGGTGTGCTAGCCGCTAAGGCTGGTGGAATAGAGAGGAAATATTTTTCTCACCGCGATGATGCGAGTATCGTTTGGCTGGTGTGAGAGAATTTTGGGCAATCACACAGAGTACTGAGTCAAAGGATCGTTGCCATCTCTGACTCGGGCTTCCTCGTCGACATGGCAGGCTTGGCATATTTCTACGAAGTGGGACAGAGTTAGAGGACAGAAAGATTGACTTGGCACGTCACAAGCTTCGACCATCGCACGCGGGGACCTGCAAAAACCTGAACGGCCGTTCGAACGCATGATGAGAGGCCTTCCATTGCCACCACCCAACGTGCCGTCCACAGTAATGGCTGGAATCGCCAGCTTAGGCCACAGCAAGGCATGTGGCGAAGCTCTTGAAGAACGGTGCTCATGCCGAAGCCGATTGGCTCCCCGGTTGAGATCTCGGGACATGGATCTACATAGCACTCTCGCGCAGGCCATTTTTTTATGTCTTCTTTGTGGCGACTGATGTGCGTACGATATGTATCCTTTCGGGGTGTATGGATAGAGAATACTATGCAACTATAACCCCCTCTCGTTCCGTGAGCGCCACCAAGGTGTTGGACGAATGTCTTGGTGGTGTTTGCACCTACATACATCGATGTCGCGGCGGGCGTCTGAATGTTCATGAACGCCTCTTATGTTGTGAACCTTATCCACCCGTTTTTCGGGTTGAATATTTTTTCGATCAAATGCAATCGTTCAAAAAGAGGCGACGCTCCGGTACATAGACCTTCCGCTATTACCATGCATCAAATGTTTCTGCAGTTCGTGTCGGAGACAAGACAGCATTTTTTCTTAGGGTGCGCGGTTGCCTGTCATTGGTAACAATGTAGAATGGGTCCCCGTTACCATTGACTGTCCTACCGAGCTTACCATATGGTTGGTTTTAGCGTGTTATCGGCGGCAGGGTCCAACTTTTTACTGTGTTCTGAGCCCCCATATCTTGTGAGGGCCTTTGGTATGAGTGTGCGAGCAATGGGTCCTTCGCGCCACGCTCTTGCACCCTTAGACAACCGTCAGAACATATTCTCTGTTCTCTCATGATGACTTTGAGAAACGACCGAATCAGCAATTCGTAGTGAGAAAATAGTCAGCTAATCTTGATCCTCCAGTGGTACAGGATTTTCGGCATGCTACCCTTCCCGCGGGCTCCATTCACCAGCCCGTGGTCCATCGTAATAAGTTAAAGCGAGGGTACAGTCATCCACCTTCCTGTTCTGGCCGAACCCCAACAAAACCTTCGATTCAAAGGAAAGACAAAGCATAAGGTAACGAGATACGGTTCGTTCCGAATCGTCCATTCAAACCAGTTGGAAAGGAATTTATTTGGGATAGTTTAGGCGAGCAGTGTAGATGCAACACGATCAAACCTGCATCAAACCGTATCACTTGAATCAAAACGAAAATGCGAAATTGAATCGACGAACGAACCATTGCTTCCCACATGAGCTACATAGTCACTGGTGCTACCATCGCGATCAGATTTATTCGGATATACCTCAAAACTGGCAATTTCAAGTTTCCGACAGCGTTGTCGACGAGTTGACGACATTCCGTTCTATCAAGAGCTAAACAAATACACACCACAAAAGTACCGTGCTTCAAGAGCGATCGCACTTGACTCTCAGTGAGACCTTGCTAGAAGTATTCAAATTACAACACGTACTGCTTGATCGCGTTTTGTCGATACCCGGTATCGTGGGGGCTTCACGGTAGGAAACCATATTTGGCTACCAGTCTGTTCTATTTCTGTGTCATTGCCCCCCCTCTCTCAACACCGCTGTTGTCATCTCAAACTCCACAACCATTCGAGACATATTTTAGCTTGAGAACTTAAAAACTCATTGGGATCGACTCAGTACATCCGACACGCCCGCCGCACTGGTACCCCGCACTGTCTCTATGCGGTTTCGCCTGATAAAGGTACTTACCCCGAGGCTCAGGGTTTCCGTTCCTCGTGCGGGCCACAGGACATACGCATGATAGGACGCTCCGTCCTGCCTTGTGGACCATGCATTTCATGCGCCCCAAAACGCTGAAGAATGTGGGCGAGATACTGTATGCAACCTGAAAGCTCATCACCCAAAGAGAGGGGCCACGGGGTCACTTGCGATGCCAGTTAGATGACGCACCGAACGAAAACCCTGTGTATGCAGATATATCGATTCTCCAAAGGCGATTTGAGATCAACCTCCTCAATCCTGAACGTAGAACTCGAGCTTGTCACCTGTGACTGGAAATGTGCTTTCGTCCACGACCACCAGTTTCTTTTGCTACGTACTCCCTCCCGCTCCGACCGGTCCGTAGGCCGTTCGGCTCGAATCCGTTATCGGGAACTCCCTTAGGTTCACCACTAGAAGAGATCAGCAACGGTCACTCCCTCGTCAAGAAATACCAGACATCGATGCTACCAACGAAGCGCAATGTTGAATGCGCCATGCCGGCAATAGTGAAATATTCCGTTACCTTGGACATCCGACGTTGTCGGCCTATCACCTTCCGAACATGTGAGAAAAATGTATGCCGTACAGGGAGCAATACGTGTACTCCTCTCATGAAATCGCAGCTCCATTCGCTACTACGTGATGTCGCCAGCTATCTATGGCGTGGCGTTGAATTTGTACTGCAGATTTTCCGCCAGCATGGTGATAATTTCCTTCTCGGCCAGGTTGCACACTGTGATGCGGTCCTCCTGCGGCAAAACACAAAGAGGCACATCACCAGCGAGCATTTACCCTTCGAAATCCTCGAGGGAACATGCATTTGTGAGAGCTGTCGGACACCAAACCTCCCACACAAAGAACGGGTTCTCGAGTCAAATCAATCCAAACGAGGCTGGGAGAACGGCGACAAAGAAAGCAGAAAACACCGTTCACCCGGCTTCGTTGCAGCATCGGCGAATCGGAAACCGTTCGTTGATTTCCACTCACCAGGCAAAGGGAGGCGTACGCAGACCATCCGCCGAGTTCGACAATATTCGTTTTGGTCCAGCAGGCGATGTTGACTTCGGAATTGGAACCGATGTTGATGTACGCTTTGACAATGCCGACAAAGTGTTTGAAGTCATCGTTGATGTGCTCGTCACCACTGGTGACCTTGAGAAAGTCCTGATAGTCGGCCACGTCGACCAAGGAATAGAACGGCTGCATATCATTCCAACAAGACAGGTGGAGAGGGAAAAAGTGAACCCCATCGAATTGAATGCATATCCGTGATAAATTTTGGCGTTTGGCGCATAACGTAGTTGATTCTCGAAAGTGTTTCAAGAGTGGGACATTCCTCGAAGGTTATCCGCCTACGGTCATACCCGAACCCCGGACACGCGACGAGCGTACACACACGAGCAGAAAGTCTCAGTAGCTGTCCGGGAGGAATGACAGCCATGTTGACGTCTCGCCATGGTTTTTCCTCAAACCTTTATGTCATATCCTCCGGCAGCAGGATAGTGGAAGTGAATCAATACCCGGTTCCCGGAGAAGGTATACCCACCACAGCTCAAGGGCTTCATCGTGTCCGGCCAATGTCTAAAAGAGGAGAGAAACGCAGGAACCAGTCCATCGAACATGTGTCGCTTCCGGCAGTCTGTCACAACGTCTCGGGTCGCGCTCAGCGCCATAGTCGACGACGGCACTACAAACATCAGTCGAGATTTGATGCCTTTGCCTACCTCACTGCAAAGCGCCTTCGAGCAAAACTCCTCGAAGGTCTCCTTCAGTGAGCCAAAACCCATGACAATAGCTAGCGGGTTATTGTGGACGGTACTGTGGCCTCTGAAAGCCCCTGCCGTGATGTTCTCTGTCGCTGGGACCCGGGGTAGCAGGCAACACGACCGTAGTTCTTGCTAGGGTCAATGATACGGCACCTCCTCAGCAAGATCCAGGGAGGAAGAACTAGTGCACCGCCGCACCTGGCACCTTTTCGTTGGTCCTGCGATCTTTGCTGGCCCAGCGTGAAGTCTCGTACGGATCTGATGACACTGTGATCCCGCGGATGTCCACGCGCGAGCAAGCAGGAGGCGTTCGTTGTGTGAGGTGGAACTGATGGCGTGAGAACCACACAGCGCGCCGTCGTTCATGACTGTTCGGCAGCAAACTGCGATATGTTGGAAGTGTAGGTACATGGATTGCCGATAGGATCACTCCGTTGTCTCTATCGTGCCAACGAGGTAAGTCGCCGATTTTCGGCGGGGTGCTTTGACATGGCATCACCACCCTGCGGAGCAATTTGTTTCGTAGGGACGTGGCGGAGTGGCTTATCCGAGGGCAAACCACAACGGCGGAGCATATCGTCTGTGTTTTGCACAACCCACTGAAAAGGGCGGAGCGGATTTAGACACGACGGTGCTGCTTATCATTGCGCAGCAGTTGACCTCAAAAAGGTGATCTCATTTATATACCGCACCTTGGGCAAGCTTGCGCCATGAGAAAAAGTAGCATCCATACCACATACCTTTTGTCAGGGGCCGTTGGAAAGTACAAGCCAACGCTTAACACGTATTCACACACGAATCTCTGAGATATCAGCGTATTGACCGTGTAGCATAGCAGTCATTCGGCAACTTTGCCGTGACAAGCACCGTATGATGTGACGAACAGCGACAAGATTGCAGCTATATGTATAATACCCACGCGTTGTACGGCGAAGTAGCACATCCCTTTCCGAAAGCAAAGGGCACGTACAACACTCTTTGCGAACCGGAGCGGAGAGGTGTGTTCGGGGGCAACCCGTTAGCCAAACAGAGTTGGTTCCGGGTTGCAACGGACCGAAATAGAAAAATTATGTGTCACAAAGCATTCCAAATCCTGGAGAACATCTCGGATCTGATCGGCAGCAGATACAACCACGCCCTTACACATCCCTGTCAAGCCTTCTGGGCGCGCTGACCTAACTGAAGGTGCATCTTTGACAGACGCAATGACTGAAGGTGACGTTCAGGAACAAGGATACTGAGGTCACAGTCATTGATGGACTGAAGCTCGGAGCCCGAACAACCTGGTGCTTTTTCCCAAACATGGTTGGGTACAGTGCCCTCTTGTTCCCCCCCAAGATACCTGCGAAACCTCGTAGCTTCCAATGGGCAGCACACCTACACGTTCATCTCTAACGCCAAGTGACTGACTAGTCTTTCTCGCTCTACCGTTTTATGCTGTCTTGGTCACTTACCCTAAGACCAGTTCTTACAAGATGGGGAAAAGCATGGGACACATCGACTGCTGCCGTCTTACATGGTCCAGACAACAGGTTGCATGAAGAAAATCGCAGTGAAGACGGCGATGTACTTGAACACCAGGTCGGGCATGGGACAAGCTAGTGCAACCAAGAACGACGCTGAGGTGGATTAAGAGGTTGGAGAAGCCGAGGGCGGGTGAAATGTTATCATTCAGGGATGACCAATAGAGCGTAGGGTTCAGAAACGACTCTTCTTGTTTGGTCGAAAATCGCCATCGACTTAGGAGAGCACAGGGGAGGGGGGTCATCGCTTGACGTATGGCTAGCACGCATAAGTTATGTGGTGCTCTACACTCATTTCTCCCGCGTACGAGATAATGGCATCTACCTTAACAACGTTTTTCGGGTAAAAACCGCAAGAAAAGATATTTCGTGTGGAGCTTGTTGGTTGGCTAATGTCATTTTCTGTGAGGCTACCCACAGTCTTGACCATTATGGCGCTGCACGATATGAGCGCTGGTCTGGACGTAAAGCAACCCAGAGTGTTGATAATATCAGTCCATCGAGAAACTCGGCAGGTGCTCGGGTTTCGACGAACGCATCGCGGGCACAGTACGACGCGAAACATACCCCGGGGTACCAACGTTCAGAAACGACACGAAACAGTCGCACCAACGGTTATCTGCTACAAATCTCTCTCTCTCTCTCTCTCTCTCTCTCTCTCTCTCTCTCTCTCTCTTGGTCTCCCTTGGCAGGTGTCAAGGTGTCAACTGGAGCCATGGTGGGATGGGTGTTACGCCTCCTTGTGATGTACGACCCCCAAACAAGAAACAAGTGGGGTCGATTTTCGAACGAAAGGCGCGTATTCCGTGGTGAACCAGCAGCAAGGGTCACGTGCGCGGGAGTCTCGAGCGGCATACGCATCGGGTGTACAAGGAACTACACTGCTTCATCAGTGGAAACAACCGGAGTCCTCTATATCAGTAGCAGGAGCGGGATCGGAAACAAGAAAACCACAACCGGAGTCCTCTATATCAGTAGCAGGAACGGGGTGGGGAAGTCTCGGGTACAGGCAGTAGTACCACAAGCAAACTTACTCCTACAGCAGGAAGTACTGTTGTCAAGACGAAGAAAATATAGCTGGAACGAGCAATGGATATCGCAACGAGCAGCACAGGAGGTGGAAGCGCGTTCGCCAGCGATAGTTCTACGAAACTGGCAACCGTGATCAAAGGCCTCAAGAAATTCGACGGACAGGACCCAGCTGAGTTCAAGACATGGATGAAGAACTTCTGCGTGGTGTTAGGTGTGACCAGGAAGGACATCCTGCCACTGCTGAAGAAACAAAGGAAGCCAGATCCCGCAGACACAGCGGCCTTCGACTCCTACACATGGGCTAACGAGTATCTCTACGCCATTCTGTTCCTCCGAGTGGAACTTCCAGCCGCCTTGTCGATACAGAAGCACGAAGACGACACTGGCATCAGCGGCGACGGACAAGCTGCCTTGGAGGAGCTGTGCAACAACTATGACAGGGTAATGGACGAGGTCATCAGGGCCAAGATGGGGGAGCTGGAGAACAACCCCATGAACCCTGGTGAAATCCCGACGACTTCTTCAACCAGAAGCACCTACTTCGCTCCCAGCTGGATAACATGGGAAATCCATCTCCGACCGCCGCTTCAAGGACATCTGCGTACAGGGCTTCTCCGACGAATACAAGGACGACAAACTGATGGTGTTCATAGACCCAACCTTCAACGTCCTGGACGTGCAATCCACCATGCGCAACATCTTCTCGGACGAACAATCGCGCAAGGGAAGGAAGGGACGCATAGCTGGTCGAGGATTTGCCATGGCAACGACCGCGTCTGACATCATCTGCCACAGCTGCTACGAGCCGGGGCACATCAGGAGGAACTGCCCCAAGATCAAGAACAGGGCAAAGAAAAAAACGAAGCCCGCCGGAGCTACCAAGTGGTGCTTCAAACACAACACCACGTCTCACTCGGACCAGGAATGCTACCAGCAAGGAGGAAAGCGCCCGGAAGACACCAAGGACTCAAGTAAAACATTCACCGCGTGCTCCAACTGCACTAACTGCTCGTCGGCGTCCAACAAGCACGACTCAAACAACGAAGTGGCAGTTGTCGACTTCACCCGGGACGAGGACGCCTTTGACAGCGGCTTCATGTTCGCCACGTGTTCCCGCATCTCAGGACGCAACTTCGCCGCGAGCTCCACCCGGGTAGGCCTGCTGGTAGACACGGGAGGATCGGAGACCATGTTTGACAATCGCCTCATCCCGGACGGAAACCTCCACGATTACACCCAGCGAAACTCTCCAAAGATCGTGGACGTGGCCGGAGAAAGCCAACTCAAAGGCACGGCCACGGGCATCCTACACTGCACCGTCAAGGACAACGGAGGACAGCAATTGCGCGTGCGGATTCAGGGACTCATCGTCCCGGGGCTTGGTTGCAACGTTTTTTCGCCCACCTCCCTTCTGAAAAAGGGATTGCGCTGCGTCGTCGAAGAGTGCACTCCGGACCTCACTATCCAAGGCAAGGTGATTCCACTCACACAAGATCCGCGAGACCAAGGCATGTGCACCCTCGACATCACGTTCGAGCAGAACGTCCAGCCATCTGGCACGAAATCCCTCGTGCCCCACCAGAAGCAGTCACAGACCCACACGGCGAACGCCGTCTGCTTTACGCTAGTGAGCGCGGACACCTGGCACAGGAGGCTTGGACATCTCAATGCTCGGAGCCTGGATATCCTTCGGAAGGACACGGGTACCGGGGTGGACTTTCGCGACAGTCTCTCCCCTTGCGGGGTCTGCCAGATCGCCAAATACAAGCAGTCCCCCCACCCGAAGCAATCGACTCGCGAACTATCACGGCCTGGACAGCTTGTGGTCATCGACAACGTGGGGCCTGTTAATCCACCTGCGAAGTATAACGGAGGCTCCTTCCCGTACGCGTGCAAGATCACCGACGACTACACGAAGGTGAAAGAAGTGTACCTGCTTCGCAAGAAATCTAACACAACCGAGGCGGTGCACACGTACAACATCTGCGTCGCAGCGGCAGGAGGCTACCGGATCGAGACCATCCGCTGCGACAAGGGAGGCGAGAACACCGGATCCGAATTTCGGGACTACTGCAAGAATTCAGCTATCAAGCTCGAATACGCCGCCACCAACACCCCTCAACAAATTGGTGTATCGGAACGGGACGGACAAACCCTGGCCGGAGTCACCCGGTGTCTTCTGAAGGATGGAGATTTTCCGCCGTCCATGTGGGGGGAGTTAATGCTGACTGCAGCATACCTGTTGAACAGGTCCCCACACTCAGCACTGGGAGGAGCTACGCCATACTCGAAGTTGCACAATAAGTCGCCTGATCTCTCGAGACTTCGGGTCATTGGAGCGCGCGCCTTCGTACACCAGGAGAGATACCGAAAGAAGCTGGACGACAGAGCTTTCGAAGGCAAGCTATGTGGTTTCGGCCTCGACAGCCAGACCTACCGGGTATTGAATCCATCCAACGGGGCCGTGGTCGAGAGCCGGAATGTGACTTTCATCGAATCTCCACCCCGCTCAGTGCCCTTCCAGTATTCCACTGAAGCAAACGGGTACGAGAGCGACGTGCTGAGCTTCACCTCCCTGCTGGACAGCCCCCACTCGACGAGCGACCTGGACTTCACGGCGCAGAACGAACTCCTTCGGCAAGATGTCCGGAAGATGCAGCAAGACAATCTCGCTCGGGAGAAGCTTCGCCTAGAACTGGACGGGCACGAGGACGAACATGGAAACGGGCAAGATCTCGGCGACGGGGACGCTCCATCACCACATCTCCCATCGACGCCAGCTGGATCGTCATCCGAGACCCACGCATCTAGCCCCAGTCCATCATCGTCGAACCCGACTGAACCGGACACTTCTGCATCAACTGGATCCTCCGGCATGCGGCGCCTGCAAGTCACCAGAGCCAGCACGCGCGGGAAGCCCACCAGCGACGATCATATCGACGTCAACTTGGTTCCTGCCAATCTGGAAGTCACCATGAACGACCGCGGTCGAGCCCATGCTACAACGGGCCGCGTGGAGCCATCCGGTCTTTCCTTCACTCAGCTGGCTGAGATAGCCGATCAAGCTCAGCTCCCATGCCCTGGCGATACTGCGGATTTCCCCCACGTTGCGGAAGACCCCTTCACGGTGCCGCGTGCTCACGCCGACGTCACGACCACTCACGAACACCAAGGGATCGTGGAGGAGACGAATCAAGCGATTAAAATCCCCAACACCTACGACGAAGCCATGAGCTCTCCCCAGCGCGAAGAATGGAAAGGAGCGTGCAGCAAGGAAATGGACAATCTGCGGAAACACAACGTCTACAATCTGGTGCCCCTCAGCAGTGTTCCCAAGGGAGAGAAGATCCTCGGAACGAAATTCGTCTTCAAGAAAAAGCTGGACGGACGCTTCAAAGCTCGCCTGGTAGTCGGAGGACATCGTCAAGAGCCAGGACAGGACTACGGACGCAGCTACGCACCAGTATGCCGTATCGGGAGCATTCGCATGACGTGCGCCATTGGCTGCCGCAACAACTGGCCCATCTACCAACTGGACGTTATCGGTGCCTTCTTGAGCGCCCTCTGTGACAGAGATGTGTACGTCAGACCCGCCCCCGGTACATCCGCCAAGAACTCCGCGACGGGAGAACCCATGGTGTACAAACTAGAACGGAGCCTCTACGGCCTATCGCAGTCGCCTGCGCTCTGGAACGACACCCTGGACGAATCCCTCACGGTGTTCGGATGGAAAAGGACTCAATCCGACCCCTGCGTGTACGTGTATACCAGCGGCAACATCATCGTGATTCTTACGGTCTACGTAGACGACATTCTCATCACAGGAGGAGACCAGCAGCTCGTGGACCAGAAGAAGAAGGAGCTCACGGATTGATTTGAGATGACCGACATGGGAGAGGTAAAGCGGATCCTCGGGATCGACGTGCAGCGGGACTACGAGCAAGGAACCCTGGCCATTTCACAGGAGCACTACGTGAACACACTTCTGGAGCGGTTCGGAATGCAAGAGGCCAACCCAGTGAGCACTCCTGGATACGGAGCGGAAATCTCCACGAATCAACCTCAGGACCAAATCCTAGGACCCACGGACAAGTAAACCTACCAGTCGATGACAGGAAGCATCCTCTACCTGGCCCAGTGCACGCGATTCGACCTCTCCTACGCTGCTCTACAACTTTCCAAGGCCTGCAGCAACCCAGTGTAGGTGAACATGCCAGCAGCCAAGCACGTTCTGCGATACCTTCGGGGTAATCCGGTTCTTCCTATAGACACCCTGGACGAATCCCTCACGGTGTTCGGATGGAAAAGGACTCAATCCGCCCCCTGCGTGTACGTGTATACCAGCGGCAAAATCATCGTGATTCTTACGGTCTACGTAGACGACATTCTCATCACAGGAGGAGACCAGCAGCTCGTGGACCAGAAGAAGAAGGAGCTCACGGATTGATTTGAGATGACCGACATGGGAGAGGTAAAGCGGATCCTCGGGATCGACGTGCAGCGGGACTACGAGCAAGGAACCCTGGCCATTTCACAGGAGCACTACGTGAACACACTTCTGGAGCGGTTCGGAATGCAAGAGGCCAACCCAGTGAGCACTCCTGGATACGGAGCGGAAATCTCCACGAATCAACCTCAGGACCAAATCCTAGGACCCACGGACAAGAAAATCTACCAGTCGATGACAGGAAGCATCCTCTACCTGGCCCAGTGCACGCGATTCGACCTCTCCTACGCTGCCCTACAACTTTCCAAGGCCTGCAGCAACCCAGCGCAGGTGAACATGACAGCAGCCAAGCACGTTCTGCTATACCTTCGGGGTAATCCGGTTCTTCCTATCGTCTACAAGAGAGGACAGTTTCGGCCAGCGGCGTTTACGGATTCATCCTTCGGAGCAAACCCCGACAACGAAAGATCTACCACGGGATATCTCTTCTTCCTAGCTGGAGGACTCATCAGCTACGGTGCGAAGACTCAAACCCTAACCGCGCACTGAGAGGCGATCTACATCTTTAATTTTATGACGGAACTCAACTTCAAGACCTTCGGATCGGTTCCCATCAACAGCGACAGCACCGGAGCGCTGACAGTGGCCGGGAATGCCATGCACTCTCAACGCACGAAGCACGTGGCCCTGAGGTACTTTTTCATCCGGGAGCTAGTACTACGGGGACAAANTAGTTGCTTGATCGAGGGGTCGTGTCAGGAAAATCGTGCGTCGAGACCACCAGTAGTCGGACACGGGTTGACCTTTGAATACGATTGCAGCAACTAGTCTGCGTAGCAGTAGAAACAAATCCATCTCTCCGTGGCATGTATCTTCTCGTTCTAGAAATATTCCGGAATCATGCTAGGTAGGTCAAGGTTGACCGGGACATCTACGTAAAACGTGTTTGCTTCTGGAAGCCTTCTGGAAACTTCTGGAACCTTCTGTAAGCTTCGGGAAGCGTTCTAGATCTAGGTTGCAGTTGATACTCTTCTAGAACGTAGGAGTGCTCCCAGAAATTATTCTGGAAGTATTCTGGATCTTTCGTGTGATTGGCATATTTGTCCGGTATTCGAGAAGAGTGGTGCCGCCCTACTCGCCCACCACTCTCACTCCTCTTCAGTACCATCAACATCTGACTCTGGAGTCAGCGATTCATAAAAACATCTTCATATTTCTATTCCAAGTCTCTCGCGGTTGGAGCCGCACAGAGTGTAAACCTCTGAGGTAGGCTACACAGCCTACCGGCATCTGCAGCATCGTACTGCTGCTAGTGCACAGCGAAATAAACTCTGACAAACCGCTAGTCGCAAAGTCGTGAGCTCTAATCCAATGGGGTGAAAATTTTACATGTCCAAATTTGCCGGTGAAGGAAAATAAACTGAGAAGCTCTCGTGAGTACCAAACTTCGACGTTCGCACCGTTGAAGAGGCAATGGGACGGCTGGACCCTTCGCATGATAAAAACTACAATTCAGCACGCACCGCAGGAGGAACGTGAGGCACGAAAAAAATAAAGAGAGAAAAAATCCCCCGAATTTAACCCTCCTGTGCGACCCTGGATGGTTGTAGATGCACGACAAATGCACTAAAAAGTGTAGCACTCTAGATCTACATATACCCAAAGAGTAAAATACACGTCTCATCGCGATAAACGGGGGGACTGTCGCCATAATAAATAGGACGAACACACAACAAACCATGCTCGGCAAGATCGCACATGCAAGGTGTACAAGCTTTCGCAAATCCATCAAACGGCAAGAAGGGACTGTGAGGCACACGCCCAGCGACCCATACAGCCGGTTTTTCGTCGTTCAATGGGCACGGAATCGATCCGTCCTCCGTGACACTCGGAACTACGCACTCGTCAAAGGGGCATCTTAGCTTCCCACCCAGAATCTGCACCAACGTGGTCGGCGCAAGGATGACATCAATCCACGCCGGGACCCCGTCGAAGTAGACGGCCTGACCGGGCGTCCATTTGTACCAGTGCATGGCGAACACGTAGGTCGACGCACAAGAGCGCAAGGTAAAAGCCGCTCCGGTCATGCACCCTAGGAGGGGGGATCTGTGGGACGGAAAAGATTAAGCATGGGGAACCGTGATGTGTAGTGGAGGAAAATCCTGTCGCGCGTGATAACTTAAGTTCTAGGCGGGAAGATCAGACTTTCGCGCGCGTCCCACTCAAAGGTGTTGGTGCACTACGTACCTCGAAGTTGTCACGAAAAAACATGGGCCCCGTACAAGTAACACTCAGAATCGTGCCCACTGAAGTCTATTTGGCGCAATTTCTCCTTAGGGAAGCGAAAAACTAGCGCTCCTGAGAACCGAAGGAAGGCAATAGAAAGTCCAACGGCAGCTCAGCAGATGATATTTGCTGCAGGGTAATACACTGTGTGCTGCACACATGCGGAACCTCGATACGCAAAATGTGAACGACCGAGGTGATTCATGTACATGGACAACACCAACCCAGAAACACTGGCTCACTAAGTGTGCTTCATTATTCAGGCGGTGCTCGCGTTTTGTGGATGACCGCACGCTTCACAGAGTAAGAGAAGCGACAAAAGTGTACGACAGTCTTCAGTATAAGCACGCAGCTCAAAACATAAGCCACAATCACAACGTGGAAGAAACATCCTACGCGTTTAGGGTTGAATTTGCTCGGGTCCACAAACCTCCCGAATTTGTGCTATCGAGGGTAGGTAAATCTATCTGTTCTCAATGCGAAAAAAACACCAAGGAAGCAGGAGCAAAAAGAACAGCAACCACAGCAACAACAACAACAACAACAACAACAACAACAACAACAATAACAACGCTTGGCACAACTTCCCAGACAAGGGATCATAAAAAAGTGAGAGGTGTTAGGGATATTATTATCAGGCCGAAAAAAATCGTAACTTTTTTCACCGAATAGTAACTTTTTTCACGGAACCGTAAGTAGGGTTTCCGGTGGTTCTTATCGGCAGAAGGCGCGAAGGCGCGTATTTTTTCAAAATTTACGGAAAGCGCCACGGCTCGACGTACACACACCGGTCCCGACCAGGCGAGAGACCCGAGGACTCCCACAACGGACGTGATAAACCCACACCAAGAACAACAACGCCGCTGCCATAAAAACCGCACTCGCCGATATTGAGCCACTGCTGGGAAA